AAATTTAGATTGGGCTCATCTCTTTGGGCTTCCTTTATGCATCAAAAATATTGTGCTCAAACTCACCCTTCCCAGTTTTTGTGGAACGTTGGTGATCCCTGTATCTGGAAAGCAGATGTTAATGCTAGAACTACAGCTAATGATTTCATGTTTTGGGATATAAGTGACAGAAACATCTCTTTCTGGAATGATAATTGGGGGTTGTCTTAACTCTCTGAATACTTTCACCCTCTACATACTAACTCCTTATTGGTTTCTGATTTCTTTTCTCAAGATATTTCTTTTCTCAACTCAAGATGGTTGGGATTTCTCCAAATTATGTTCTATGGTGAGGGAGGAAAATGCAAAGCATATTATTACTATTCCTATTAACCCTTCACGCAGGGATTTCCCGGTATGGAAAAGGAGCAATTCTCAATGGTTTGCAAATTAATATATGACACTTTACATTCACACTGCGATTGGTTTTGGGGAAAATGGATATGGCACAAATTTTTAACTCCCTCTATATCATTTTTCCTTTGGCGTTATCTCTCTTATTTACTACCTATTGATGACATTCTTAAATTGAAAGGCCTTAAAATGGCCTCGAGATGCCCTATGTGCAAAGTTGTAGAGGAAGATTCGAGACATATTTTTTTAATGTGCTTTCTCTTTAAATGTTTGGAATATGTTGGGCATACATTTCGGTATTTCATGGTTGTATAGGGGCATCTTAAGCAATTATTTGTGGCAATGGAAGGTTTTTGATGATAGGGGGTTTCCCCTTACTTTTTTTTGGTTTTTTGGTCCTATGGTTTATTTGGACCTCAAGAAACAGCTTTAAATAGAACTCCTCTCCCCCTATGATGAATTCTTATGTGTTGGCCTATTACACTAAGGTCCTAAGGGTCGGGACAAATTATGTTTCAAATTTCAGGCCCCCCGGCTGATCAGGTGGGCTTCCCCCTCATCGGGTTTTGTTAAAGTTAATGTGGACGGTTGTTGGAATCCTTTTTATGCTACGGTTGGAGGCTTTTTTAGAAATTATGAGGCTAGGTGTCCTTGCTACTTCACCTCTCCTGTTGCCGCTAACAACCCATTAGCCACAAAATGCTGGAGTTTTTTTGGCTTTAATGGTGGCAAGTGTTTTCAATTTTCATACAATTGGGGTGGAAACCGATTCTAAAATGTTCTATGATATACTTTTAGGAATCTCTCCCCCCTCTGAGATATAATTTGTACTTTTAAACGTATTTTAGCTTTAATGACTGCAAAACAGTTAGAAGTAAATTGAAAATTCATTTATAGAGAGGGCGACTCCCCTGTTGATTGGTTATCCAAACATACAGGGGAGGTCTGTCACGTTGGCATTTATCCTCCTGCTCCACTCAGACGTCTTCTCACTAGGAACAATTTGAATCTGTCATATGTTCGAATTTAAATTTTGGTGTTGCTTGGCTTTACCGTTGAGGGTCTTCTTTCTGTATGGTGGTTGGGGTTTGCACTTCTACCCTTGCGGGATTTTTGTTTTGTTTGGCAGGTCTCTTCTGGTTTCTGGCTTTGTCTCCCTGTTTTCTGCTCTCACTGTTTCCGCTGGCCTACTGCTGTTCTGGTTTCTCTGCTCTGATCTCCAGATTTCCAAAAGTTTTTGTTACTCGCGGGAGTGCTCTTAGAGAATTACTACTAACCTGAAGACAATTTTTTGTACAATTTTTTTCTCTTTACATGTTAAGCAATACATGAATACAAATTTACTTAGTTTTGGGTTTTGTTCTTTGGTTTTGGGTATACCTATAAATTTTTGTGATTTCTTTTATGTAAGTTGTACTGTGGGGAGAGGAACCCTAGGGGTGTGTTCAAATGTATTTTTTGCTTTCATAGTCGGGATCCTCCCCTGCTCCAATTTCTGTACCTTTTTTTTTAATTAACGCGTAGCGAGCCACCGTTGTTTTTCCAACATATATATATATTATTATGTTATCTGCTGCTAGGTTGAGTAGCTTCTCTTCGATCAAACCTCTCTCTACGTCATACGTAGGCTTCGTTTCTGCTCGTGCGTCTCTGCTCATGCGACGGCTGCGTCGTCCTCAGGCTCAAACTGATCGCAGGGGCTTCGCCGCTCCTGTTCCCTGTTTCGGTTTCGTTTCTGCCCGCACGTCTCTAAGTCTCTGCTCGTGCATCGGGTTGCGACGACTGTGTCGTCCTTGAGCTCGAGCTGATCGCAGGGGCTTCGCCGCTATTTCCTGTTTGCTCTGAGATCGCAAGGGCTTCCGCTCCTGCTCCCTATTTCGAGTTTCCGCTCTCTGCTCTGCTACGCCGCACCTCCATGGTTTCCTACATATCTTATGTTGTTGCACTTACGGGTGTCCAAACCTCAGATATACCTAAATCATGCTCTTTCCCGGGTGGAGTACATCAAGAAACCTGGTAGGAAAAATGAGAAGTCTGCCATCTTTTTTACAGAAGCTGAAGCTATTCAACTTGGTTCCTCCTGTCGAATGAATTTGGTCGGGAAATTTTTGTATGACCATCCCAAAATGGAGTTGATTCATAAGGAATTTGAGTTTATGCACCTTGTTGAGGAGTTGAAAATAAAACTGTTAGATGTAAGACAAATTCTTATACAACTAAATAATGAAGAGGATTACACGCGCTTATTTGCTCGAAGGATAATCTGGATTGATAACAGAGCAATGAAGATTCTAAAATTGTTTTGTTTGTGGATTTTGACCCACATGGATTTTGACCCACAGATAGAACCACTAATCATTCTGATTTGGATTCGCCTATCTAATCTAAAATTTCATTATTTTACTCAAAAAGTGTTGTACTTTATTGCCTCAACTTATGATAAACCACTCAAAACAGACATTCCTACTGTTAATATTTCTCATCCATCTGAAGTCAGATTACTTGTTGAAAGAGACATCACTTCACCCGCCTTTGAGGAAATTTGATTGGGCACACAGCATCATGGATATTGGCAAAAGTTAGTGATTGAGTCTTTTCCCTCGTATTATTTAAATTGTCGTATGTTCGACCACTCTAGTTCTCAATGCCACCATCTACACCCCCAACTTAGACCAAAAAAACATAGTGCTCCGCCAGAGCCAATGATTTCATGTCCTCCTGATAAGTTTCAAGTTATCGACACTATTGATCATCAAAAGAATACCCCGGATGACGTCACTATTCTCGCAGGCAATATGACAACCTTTCAGTCCCCAGCTATAGTTCCCCCGTCTTTGGAACTTCCTATCGTGGGGGAGAGGGTGAGTCTTCAGACCTCACCTGCTCTATATATCACCGATAATACAGGTAGCAATACTTATACTGCTTCACTACCGTCTCATCAAATTGAGCAAGTTATTAATGTTACTCAGGCTCATGGGGATCGTGACGCGCAATAGCCTACATCTGTCCGGCCAACGTTGGAATCTACTGATCAGATGAGTCAATCAACGGATAAGAAATGCCAGGTCTACAAATCCAGAACAAAGAAGAAGAATGGAGACCTACTTGAGCTTAGAAATATGATGGATGATATTTTAGTTACTACGGGCAATGGTACTCACCTTTTCAATTTGTTAGCCGGCTCACTTCCAAGAACTAGAGATAGAGGGAGGACTAAAGTGGGACGACCCTAGCACTTTTGCGCCCTTTTGTGGCATTTTTGTTTTTTACTTTTATGTATTTTTGCTTTATTTGAATTTTGTGTACGTTGTATTGTATGAGTTGGGCTTTCTTTTAGGCCATCTCATACAACATTTTTGTATCTTTTTCATATTAATATATGTGTCCTAGGGCTTTTTCAAAATTAAAAAATATTCTATAATGCTTTAAACATAGTAGCAATAAATGTTTCCGCATATCATAAATCAACAAAATCAGTATCTATGATAACATTTATAAAAACAATTGCTACAAGGACACTTCATATATCCCATGTCCATAGAACCTCATCAACCAAAGGTCAAAAGGCTGGTAAGGAGGAATAACCTTTTGATAATACATGTACAGACGCAAAAAATTCATTGTACAAATAAATACTGAGAAATACACATTGGCCACCTTTGCTGCTTAAAACCCAGACATTTGAAATTTGATTTTGAAAACACGCCAAAAAAGCATTAAACCAAAGCTGCACTTCTCTCAATTGTTTCAAAACATGGACGACTAAATTATACACAGCATCTAGTCCATCCGTATTAGAGCAGTGATGATTTTAACTCAAGACAAACAACATGCCAATTCTTAAGCAATAACATAAAATTACAGAAAGAAGCCTAAATTAACTAGGTTTCTTGCTTCAATGACTACTTGAAGTTAATCATTTTTAATTTACAAATGATAAGTTGAATATTTAAGATAGCGATCATGCCAAGTAAAGAAAAAACCAATGCAAAAAAATTCATTCTACACAATATTTAAGATAGTTATCATGCATACAAATAAAAATGACTTGTGAACACCCCATTATTTGAAGAAAAGAAAATAGTGCCTAAAAATAGGTTTCTGATTCATTTTGAGTTTGCCATTTTGATCCCCGATGAGAAAGCTTCAATTTCAGTGGTCTCAATAATTTAGGCTCTAAATTTCAGTTTCAATTTTAACTTTTTTTATAATTAAATTGAATATTTTAAAAATACTCTCATCAAGACCACTTCAACAATTATTAAAATATTTCAGTAAGCCCACAAGAAAAGGCTAGAATAAACAATTTCAAACAACCGAATCCAAATCAGGCTATAATATTTATAAATGAATAACATTTTCCTAACACTTCAGAATTACTAATAATTACATAGCTAGCTTATAAAATAGACCCAGACCATAGATTTTCAAATTCAGACGATAGAAGACCTACAAACATTTCATCAAACAAATAAATTCTATTCCTACAAAAAAATAGATAATAACAAAATACATAGAAAATTTTCATCAAACAGAAGAAACCTCGCAGGCATAGTACATAAATAAGACGAATCCAAAAAATATAAAGCATGTTCTGTTCACACCTGGCTTGATGGTGTGGCAGTGGTTGTTGAAGCAGCACCCGATACATCCTTAACCTTAAAGTATACAGTTTGTCAAATTAGGAAATAAACTATACAACATAATTAATTCGAAACAAGATCTAAGATAGTCAGCATGCAAACAAAGAAATAAAATTCGGATTGAGATCACTCCATTCTGTGAATAAAAGATGCTCTTGCCTAAACATGAGTTTCAAATTCAATTTGAGTTAGCCATTTCAGTCTCATAGACAAAGCATCAATTTCAGCCATTTTGGTGTTCAATGTCAGTTTCAATTCCTTTTTAATTATTAGATCAAATATTTTAAATATTCTCTCATCAAGACTAGTTCAACCATTAATTAAATATTTCAGGAACAAATAATTAAAAAAGCAAAATTAGTGTCCAATATTTATGAATTCATACAATTTTCCCGACGCTCGGGTGTTTTCATAATTACATGGTAAGCAAAAAAGAATGGATTCAGAAAATAGGTTTTCAAATGCAGTCCATCAACAGCCCATGAACATTTCATCAACAAAATAAACTCAACTAAGAAAATTTAAACAAAGAAAATAGATATTATCAAAATAAAGTAAAAAAGCTGTTCAAGCAAAATTTCATTGAACAAAATAAACCTCCAAAGGGGCCGACTCAAACAAAGATAGTTCTAACCTGGCTTGATGGCGTAGCAGTGATTGTTGAAGCCCCACCCGATGAACTCTTAACCTTAAAATATCAATTTGTCAAGCAAAGAAATAGAAAATTGCATAAGAATTAATTATAAACGAGATTCAAGACAGTCAGCATGCCCACAGAAGAATTTTGGATTGATAACACTCCAACTTTTGATTAAAAGGCAATATAATCGAAACACAAGTTTCAAATTTAATATAATCAAGTCAATTTGGTCCTGTTGGAAAAGCTTCAAATTCAGTAGTTTTCATAATTTTGCTGCACAATTTCAGTTTAATTTTCGTGTCTTCATTATTAAATTAAAGAGTTTAAATATCCTCTCATCTTTTTAGAAAAATATGAAAATAAAAAGAAATTTCCAAGATATTTAACTACTTGTGGACCTCTTGACATGGGAACGCGAGGTCTCGTGATTGTGTGCCCTCGAGGCGCGGCATTCTGTTCAGGAGAGCAGGGCAGAACAGAGTTGAATAATGTTCCTTTTATTTTCCTTTATATGTATTGTATTAGGGTTTAGATTCTCAGTTTTTTGGCTTTTGTTTGTTCGCGACAGCCGTCTACGACTTTGTTTCTCTCTTCTAGGGTTGCATCCAAGGATCCAAGTGATGCTCTGCCTATATCTCGCTCTTGAGGTGGTGATTATCCTTCCTCTACACCTACACATCCTTCCAACATTGTTCTCCGTCGCCCGTCTTTAGTACAGACGCCCTAAACTGCCGCCTACGGGCTGTTTTCTGCAGTCCCAACTCATTGCCGCCTGCCAGAACCAGCTTTGCTCCAGACACCCAAGCTTGCTGCCATCCCTCTAGACAGCAGCCTCCACCTCTGCCCATGGTGCCAGCCGACTCCACCGTGCTGTCGTCATCTTCCTCCTTGCTACTTGCTTTGACACCGGAGTTAACCCACACAACAACGGAACACTAATATTATTGCTCAATTTCAAATATAGACTTACAAACTACCAAGCAAAATAGGGGAATAGTAACAATAAAGACACAACACGCCCAACTAATAGCTGCATCATGTAAGTGATGGTGACTGAAAAGAGGGATGTGGAATTGAAGTTGGGGGGCCGGATCGGTGTAGGGGGATATAGAGGAGAAGAGTAGTAGGAAGGTACAGTGGAAGTAGTGGAAGGAGGGTAGGTGGAGGTCGTCTGGCTCAGGAGGGTGGTGGAAGGTGGCATGAGGAGACAGTTGAGGAGATGTGGGTGACTTGATATTGGGTTGGCTGGAGAAAGTTGGTAAAGTGGTAGAGGGGGTACTTTTATGAGAGGAAAGCAGGCTGCAGGTATAGGAAGTGGAGGAAGCTGAAGGTGGGACGGTGGGAGGGGAGGGGAGATGGCAGGGAAGTGCAGATTTTAGGAAAAACAGTAATTGTTTTCCGATGGTGGTGGCACATACGGTAAAAGTGAAGGCAAAAGAAAGATTGCGGAAGAAGGAAAATCGATAGGATAAATATCTCAACATGATCAAACTACTGTAGAAGCACCACTCGATCCTTGGGAGATGGTCACCACCTCAGACAAGTTATAGCCAGAGCACCTTCTCGCCTTCTGATAAAACCTTAGAAGACAAACACCAGAAGTCGGCAGCTGTCCTGAATAGAAACATATGCCAAAAACTAACTTAAACATGCAGAAATAATAAATACATGGTCCTACGATAAAGAGGAATGGACCCCGCTCCAAATAGGAGGGAACCCGTGCTTGGCCTTTGCTAGTGACCAAACCGGTCTGGCAATATAACGACACTTGTCGCGTCTTAGGGCAAAAGGCACCCCACGTCATGCTTGTAGTCCAAGAACCTAGGAAACAACCTCCTTGTAATTTTTGCTTGTCAATCGCCCTTTTCCACCGCCTAGCTACCTTTCAGATACCACCCCCCTTTGTCTCAACCCTAGTTGGAGTTAGTGTTGTGTTTGTTGCGATTTCAAATTTTTGTTTTGATTGGTTGTAATTTCCTATTTGATTTCAGCAATAATATTTTATTTTCATGTTGTTGTTGGTTAACTCCAGTACACCCTATTACGGACTTTCTGAATCAATGATTGCTACAATGTGTCATTGTCACAAAAAGCCTCACACATGCTCAAATGGCAGCAGCAAATAACACGTCTACCAAGTTACTGTTGTATTTCTAAATATTTAAAACATTGCAAATTACAAAATATTCAAATAATAACTCATTAATTTAAATTTATGTACATGTCATGCAATTTGCACGATGGAAAAGAAACATATTCAGTTGATACTCTAGATTATCAACATGAGCATAACATTTGATTGTGAAAAATAGTATTTACCTTTATTGATTGTATATAAATACATATTTAAAGTTTTACGTACTTTATCATCACTTAATTGTATTAAGGGATCGCTAAACCTGCTATAATATTTGGGAGGGCTTACTCAAATTTGTTTAAGCATAAACACTATGTAGGAGAGATTGATTGATTAAAAAGATGAATGACACTGATGCCAAGTTGTTAAACATTGATGATAATCTTTTTCTTGTTTTTCTTCTTCCTTCATGACAATTAATTCATTTCTCCCTTAGATACGAGGGAATAGAAAGCGGGATGTTTGAGAAAAAAAAAAAGCAGAAAGGCTATCAAGTTTCTTTCAGGATTTGTGAATTTATGTAAGGGATCAACAATTGCAAGTAGAGAAGTAAACCTAGACAATTATGCTCTTTACCGTGAGAAAAAAGAAATGGGGTCATACAACTGGGAGAGACATCATGCAGAGAGGGAGGAAGTTCAGGAATCGCCAAATTCCAAGAGAAAGGGAGAAGAATTAGAGGGGAAAGGGTAGAAGAGAAGGGAGAGAAAAAACAGTAAGAAACACTTTCGGATGTAATTCATCAATCATTCATCAAAATGGCATACAATCAACACTATTTAAAAATCATATTATCAAATTTAAATTTAGATCAAGATAAATCCTAAAAATAATATTATCAGATTTTTAAATAAAGATAATCCTACTAAGTAAATATAATAACAACTTAAATAACATAAAAACTAGAATAATGTGAAGTAAACTTCTTGCATGGAGTCATTAATCTTTTTTTTTTTTTCTGACTGTAGTCAGTTTAACTAAAAAAAATCATCTTACCCGAGAGAGTTATCTGCTTTCATTTTTGGCTTAATCCTATAACTTATGCTTCAGCAGTATGAAGAGCGATAAGCCTAAAGGGAGGGAAAATAAATTGTCATTTTAGCATAATTGGTTGATCATTTTTTAAAACAATTTCCCTGGAACATACTGAAAAGAACTGCCCAAAAATGGCGAAAAGTTGATTAAACAAACCCAAAAGGCAAATAGAAACACTACCAAAAATTGATTAAAAAACATGTAGTTTCAGATCATAGCTGACCTAAACGGATACAAACCATAATTAATAGGGGGGTATACGTACAAATCACATAATTCTCAGGCATTCACGCATCTAACAATAATAGTGATATTTTTTATGTGATTTTGTGATTAGGGTGTCATATAAGTATAAAGATATGTAAATATTAGGAATTCAATGGTATGTGCATATGTAAATCCCATTGATTAATAATATCAATACAAGAAGCAAGTCTGTATAAAACTCCATGTCAATGAAGTAACATAAGAAAAAAATCCCCACATACATGAAAGGCATTGCTGAATGATTTGTTTCGGGCAGTTGTTGATTATTTATAATCTTCTGATAAGCAGATTATTCTGATAATCTGATAATATGCAAATTATCAGAATAAGTTGGGTTGTTGTTTGATACAGCTTATTCAGAACAGCTAACTGGCAGTTGTTGTTGGATAAACGATCATTCTGTCACTGTTTGGTTAAGTTGTTTGCAACAGAACTATATGAGCGCAGAAATAGATAAAAAAGTAACCACAAATCATTACAGATCAGTTCAAAAAAATAGCATAGAGTGCTCATACTTTCGTGAGTATCAGAAGAAATAAAATAAAGATAAATATAATTACAATTACAATAGAAATATTACAATATTCAATTTAAAACTCTGACTACGTTTGTCCTCAGTTGCACTGTTACCATGGAAAATCACCGTACCCCGATCACTGTTGTTAGTGCAATATGTCGGACTGTCGGCCCAATGAAAGAAATCGCAACGAGCAGAAACGCCCCAGCGACAACCGTAGAACAGTCTCTCATTGTTGTGAGGTTGACATGACGTGAGTAACGAAGCCGATAGTCCACGGAAGCACAAAACAACTCTGTTGGTCCCTAAAATCCTGGAACTCATGTTGCTATACTTGCCAAAAAAAAAAAACCAATTCTCAGATCCATAACTAAAAAAAACAAAAGAAAATGCATACGAAAATAAACCTATAGTCTAATAAATAAATAAAACTTGGTGGATCAGCAGCCATAGATAACATCTGCGATAGACTCCATCAAAGCAGTCATCTCGGCCACACCTTCACCGTCATGAATTTCAAATTCATTAGAGTTTATCTCATTCTCAAGTAATGAAGGCCCAACCACAAATTTTAAAGGTTCTTAGGAGACATTCAGTTCATCATTGTCAACCATACTGAAGTCTGTATCTGATTGAGAGGGATGTCGTCACATGAAGTTATAAAGTGTCATTGTGGCCACCACAATATGCACATGTTTTTGAAATGGATATGACGGCATATCACGTAGGATGACTCATTTCTTCTTCTGAACCTCAAATGTTCTTTCAATTACCCCACGTAAAGATGAGTGACGTTTATTAAACATTTCTTTTCTGTCACGAACGGTGTCACTTGCTCTCTCAAAATCAGGAATATAGTATTTGGTGTCCGGATATGGCTTCAGGTAGCCTCTCTACATAAGATATCCAGCATCAACCAAATAATATTTTCCTTTTACAAAATTCACCATAAATGACAAATAATGCATATAACTAGTACGTTTACAAAACAAAACGAACTTGAATGCGGGTGAGGAAAACACTGTGATCTAGTCATAGTTGCATAGAAGAAAATTCGGCTGTCATGTGCACTCCCTTCCCAGCCGGTCATCA